ATATATATATATATATATATATATATATGAAAAATATTTATCCTTTTAAGTTACACAACTTATCTCATTTCACTCTTACAAAGAGGTGAGACTCACACACACTTTCCCTATATATATATATATAATTTTTCCTGCAGTAGGAAATAATTTTTATATAGAATTTATAATTTTTCATATAGTAAAAAATAAAATTATCTTTTATATATACATAAAAATATATAGGTGTAACTATGTGTAAGTCCCGACTCAACAATAATTACAAAACTGGTTCAAAGAGTTAAGTTTATGAGGTTACCGAGAGGCTGATTTGCATCGAAGAGATAATTCGGGTTAGTATAGAAAAAAAAAGGTGTGGGGTTTAAATTTTTCTTTTATTTTCTCCTCACATGAACTTCACAAAGGTTATTTATTGTGGAGATTATTTATTGTGAACCGGAACCACTATTTTTTAGGTAGTCCCTTAGTGTAAATAGAAGAATAAAATTGAAAAAGAGAAAAAATAACAGAGATAAAAAAATAAAAAAGAAATTAATAATGTGAGAGAGCACCAAAGATTCAGTGATCCTCGACAGTATAAATTCACTTGTGGCAACTTCCGCGTAACATCTTATAATATCAAATAGTACTATCTTCCATGTACGTACGTTAGGCATGTGGCACAATCTCTGAATTTTTTTTTTTTGAGTTATAAGTAGTCAAGTAAAATAACGTACTACACACGTGGCACCCCACGTATGCAACACCTCAAAATGATAATAAGTTATTTATAATTTTTTTAATTAATTATCAAAAAACAATTTGATTTTTAGACGGCACAATTTCCACCCTGCATCACTGTGGTAATGGATGTCTGCTCTACCCACTGTAGAAGGTTTGAAAACTTAGGAAATTATGAGTCTGTTTTGTCGCATTTTGTAGACTGACTTGCTCTTTGAAAGAGACGCTGAAAGGTGAACGTCCGAGTAAGGTGATAACTGATCAGGCAGCGACTTACAAATGCTTCGGCAGTTCGGCTCCTTCCCTACACGGTATGTCCTTACAAATCTCTGTCGACCCTTTCCCAAGACTGGGCAGTATAATAGGATATGGCTCTTTCAAAATTATTATTTTTATTCCGAATCTCAAACTTGAAATCTTTGATTAAGGATATAAATTTCTTATCCCTTTTTTTTTTGTACAAATTTCTTATCATTTTTAACTTTTGACTTTTACTTTTTAAAAAGTTAAAATTTTTAACTTAAAAAAATAAAATTTTGATTTTGTTTGGTGACTTCTCCTTTTTATTAAACTAGTTATCCAAATGGATTTTGTTATAAAAGTGATATTTTTTTATGATAAAAAAAGTAATTTTTGATTAAAAAAAAGTCGTTCCAAAGGATATATATAGCTTAATATTAAAAATTTTATTATAAAATAATATATTATCAACAAGAAATATCTTTATCAAATAATCACACACTTTTGGTATGATCCTCTTGTATAAATCTAATTAAGGGCATGTCAACTTGTCACAAACTATTTTTGGAACTTCCTTGCTAGGTCATCCCATGTTGAGATTGAACCGATCGACATATTTGTGTAGCCATCCAATGCTCTTACCCTAAGCAAAGTGGGGAAGGTTCTGTACATTAGAAGGTCTCATTCTCTGTGAAGTGTCATAGCAACCTCATATTTTTTGATCTATTCGAAGATATCAATATCACCTTCATAAGTGGGGATGTTGCTGGGCCCTTAAAACCCAAAGGAATAGGAGCTAAGCAGAATGCATTGGCAAGTGGCTTGTTCCGTACGTCCGGAGGAAGCACTTAGAGTTCCTAAATGTGCTTGAGCTTGCTGATATTGGATTTACTGGTATTAGTATTGAGGTCAAGGCCTGGGGTTTGGCCAGGGTGAGCAATAGAGTAGGATGGATTTTGATGCACGTTGTGCCTGGGTAATGAATGAATGTTGTAGTGGATCGTTTGGGGGAATGACACCCTATGAGTATTGGTCATAAATCTGGCCGGGGGACACAATTGGCCAGTTCTGTAAGGCCAATTGGCAGGTTTTGTAAAGCCAATTGACAAAGGTATTGAACTTATGGGTTTGTTTCCCTCGATGAGGTGGGGTATGTCAATGTAACAATCTTCTCATTAAGGAGAGGTATAAACCTAAGCTCAATGGTGAATCACTATAAGTAAGCCTCGGGCGAAGATTGAGAATCATGAGAAGATGTAGGGTATGGTGGCTTTGTGAAATTAGTTTAGGAGAGTGATAATATATAAATTAGTACACAAAATTTTTGTGCCTCTTCAATGACAAAATAATGGTATATATATAGGTGAAGAAGATTTTTTAATGATGAGTGACAAAGAGAACCATGTCCGTTTTGGAGCATAAGGCAACTTCACCCATTGCATGAGAAATGTGTGCTAGGGGGAGTGAAATTTCCTTTAATGAGGTTTTAATTATCTTACTTTAAAGTATAACAATATGACCTTTTATATACATTTAAGGGGATACTATTTTCATTTTACACGAGAGTAATTTTTTCATGTTACAGAAAGAAGTCACGTAGGTCCACCATTAAAAGATAAAAAAGAAAAAAGAAAAAAATGGGTGTGATTTTCGAAATGAGATAACATGAAATAATTAACTCATATAAAATGAGAATAGTATTTCTTTAAATTTTAGTAGTGAAATCAATAAATTAAGCTTGTGAGACCTATTGTGAACAGATGGAGTGATCAAAATGTATTTAGCCACTCACTTTCATTTAGGTGTGCCGTCTATGATGCTCAAAAGAGAGATTGGATGTTGATCAAATTTTAACCAAGATTGGCGGCTCAAAATGGATGGAGCATAACGCCCCAAATTTCTTAAGGGGCGCTGTGCATTGCACCTTTTTTTTATAAATAAAAAAATAAAAAAATCTGTTAAACATGCTAATTTAGACGCGTGTCTTTGAGCGTGTGTTCTGTTCCTTCCACCATAAGTTGGTCAATTATCCAACTAATACATGCCTACATGTCAAATGATTAAATATTTCCCTAAAATTGAGAAATATCTATGGTACTGTACCATTTACTCAGTGTATTTATTCAATAAAAAATGAGAAATAATTATTATGTTTGTATGGAAAACAACAACAACAAAAATTTATTCAAATATCACTTGTTAAATGATAGATGTACTTACTATATACAAAAGATGATCTCCTAAAATTGAACGGTCAGGATAAAGAACTATTACCTTAGAAAGTTTGAAATTTTCTTATGGAAAAAAAAAAAAAAAAGTTTGAAATTTTAGGTATTTTGAAGACTGACTTTAGTCTTTGAAAGAGACTTTAGGAAATTTGAAGAGACCGTTTCGTCGCATTTTAAAGACTGACTTACTCTTAGCAAGAAGACGCTGATAGGTCAACACCTGAATAAGGGGTGATAAGGCAGCGACCAAGGCATGCTTCACTCCTTTACTTTACGTATGCCTTTACCTAATACCATCGACCCTTTCCCAAGTCTGCTTAGGGTGAGGAGGACCGTTGAGTTGACTTATTATAGGGTGGTGTCATTTTCCTTCCAACTGGGGCTTTGCGTCTAAGCCGTCTATTATATTATATAAAAAGAAAAATACGTTTTCTTTTATATATATATATACATATATATATATATATATATATGGGTTAGAATATTTTGACTACTAATTTTTTCTATTACCACTCCACTACCACTCTAATCACCATTGGATTAGAGAAAAAATTGAATGAAGAGAGAGAGAGAAAAAAAATAACTTTTAATCTAATGGTGATTAAAGTGGTAGTGGAGTGGTAGTAAAAAAAATTGGTAGTCAAAATATCCTACCTCTATATATATATATATATATATATATATATATATATATATGATTTTTATTATTTAATTATAGTTAATTTAATCTTTTTTATATATTTATATTCTGATTTTATTATCAACACTTTAATGTAAAGAAGTGATGTATGCTAATAAAACGTATATCAAGCATGATTTTTACGAGAAAAAAGTATTTCTACAGCCACTTTAAATAAGGCTATCTACAGCTGTTATTTATAACTATGTTCTTCGGGAAGAACATAGTTATAACATTAAAATTGTTTTTTTTTTCTCTCTCCACGTCAGCAAACAAGTTCTGAAAAGTAACTGAGGAGAGAGAGAAAAATAACTTTTAATATTATAACTATATTATCCCGGAAGAACATAGTTATAACATTAAAGTTATTTTTTTTTCTCTCTCTCCACGTCAGCAAACAAGTTCTGAAAAGTAACTGAGGAGAGAGAAAAAAAATAACTTTTAATATTATAACTATATTATCCCGAAAGAACATAGTTATAAATAGTAGCTATAGATAACCTTATCTAAAGTGGCTGCAGAAATATTTATCCCTTTTTTAATTATGAGAACAGTCATATCTGTAGTATTACAAGCTAGGCATAATTCTTCCATATATTTTATGGGAAAATTATATGTGATTTTAAAGAACATAAATTTAGGTCATTTTAAGAGAGAGATAAATATAAAAAAATATGGATTCCATTGAAAAAAATAAAGATTAAATAAATAAATAAATAAATGTGTGAGTTTAATATTTTGATATTTATCTATATCTTAATAGCTAGAATCTAATTAAGTTTGTGTCCTTCAAAAGTACACACTTTCCCCATATTTTATATAATCAATCAAGTTGATTCACTCATGTATGTATTCTTGGTACTGAAGATCATAATTACACACTCTTACTATGGTAAGTGTTTAGAACATGACAAAGAGCTTGATAGAAAGTGAATTTAAAAGGGACAACTGAGTTTAGATTTAATGAACAACATTGAGTGTACAAAAGTCAGAGCTATTACATATAAAACAGAGTGTTACAAATTGTTAACGAACTAATAAAATAATTGAACTAATCACTATAATAACCAAAACTAACTAAAAACTGGTAATAGTAAGGAATTCTGCCAAATGTAAAAATTAACTTTTCACCTAAATTCACATTAAATATGAAATTATATACATTCCTAAACACGAATAGTGTGGTTCAAGTCTCTAATTGTGAAAATTTGAAGAATAAACTTTATATACAAATCTCCATATATAAAATTCATTATTGAATTATTATTCTTACTAACATTTTTTTTTTATACAGGTAATACCAAACAGGTCCTCGATGGACTTAAATCATAGACCGTTAACCTCTTCAGGCTCGACCTCATTATCTTCCAAAGACATTCCCATGGTTTCCCTAGTGAAAAAGTAGGTGACAAACATTCCAACTATGCACACACCTCCAAGTATGATAAGTGAGGTTCGCATTCCAATTGCCTTGGGATATCCGTCCTCCTCGTCTTTATGTGAAGCCCATAGAAATCCAACGGTTCCAATGATTGCACCAACCTTGCCAAAAGCCCCAGAAATGCCATGACATGTTGATCTAAACCTGGCTGGGAATAGTTCAGCTGGGACTATGAAAGTGGTGGTGTTGGGTCCAAAATTGGCAAAGAAGAAAGCAAGGCTATAGAGTACCACAAAACCTTTATTATGTTTGTGTTTATCGGTGGTCCAATATGAGTAATAGGGAATCCCAATGGCCCAAAGAATCAATGCCATGAAGAAAAAGCCCATCATTTGGATTTTGACTCTTCCTACACGGTCAATGAAGTACATAGAGAAGAAGTAGCCAGGAATGGTGGAACATACAGCAATAATGGCTTGGATCCTTGCCATACGGAAAATCTCATGATACAAATCCGCACTATTTATCTGTCCCTTTACCGTACTATCTTCGTTGCTTCCAAGGAAGCGGTCGTATATTTGACTCTGGAATAAAACGTTGCTATAGAACACAATATCCAATAGAAACCAATTACAGGAACAAGCAAAAAGATCACGACCATGTCGACGTAAGAATTCCCTGGAAAAAAGAGAGTACGCATGCGTTTTTGATACAAACGCATTTTCTTCAGGATTTTCTTCAGCAATCTGGCTTATTGATACATCAAGAACTTTCTCCATGTCTTTTGCTGCTTGCAACACATTTTGTTCAACTAACGCTGTATACCTGATGCACATGACATCATTTCATTGTTATTTCTTTGACCCAAGTCAAATGTCCTTAATTAATAGCCATGTATTGATTTATCTATACGTTTGACTTTTTTTTTTTTTTTTGTATTTCTTAGTATGAAACAAGAATCACGCCTTGAACCACTCTAAATTAAATTAATCAACATTAACCTCCGTCTTTTTTTTTTTGGTGACTCAACCTTGTATTTTCTATTATACGGTGATTGGAATCTTTTTTAATTTAATCGACTTAATAAACGCGAAAATTTAAAGTCATGGACTCAAAGAACAAAAATAAAATAAAATATTTTTTGTTTGACTAAAAGATTTAATTAAGTGGTTATACTTGCTCCTTGATGGCCTACGACAAGCACTTTTAAGTATATCAAATAAAAATTCAACTAAGGTAAACCGTAAGCACAGGTTCGTGTTTGACATTCTTTACCAATACATATAATTAAGTGCATAAAATTTTTCCACAGTCAAAAGTAAAATAATAAGAACAATAAAATAAGAGACATCAATATCAAAAAGTCAAGAGAGGCAGCTAGCTACGTACCTGGCAGTTTCGGGCATCATCATACGCCAATAATACGTCAGGCCTGCCGGAACTGAACCTATCATCAGTATCAACCTCCATGCAAAGTCAATGCCATTTTCGCCGTGGAATATGGAGCACACCACCATGGTAACGGTGGCGCTGGCCAATATCCCGAATCCTTGCATGGAAAACACCGCCGCTATGAAAGACCCTCGCGTCCTTTTGTTTGCAAACTCAGACATGATGGTAGATGAGAGAGGGTAGTCTCCACCAATCCCCAACCCTAGAAAGAACCTAGAGAAAACAAAATCAAAATCCAAACCTTAATCACTACCAATTTCCTAAAAAAAAAAAATCAATACCCGTTAATTTTTTATTAACAAAGATAGAGTCACTATAAATGATGAAATTTTATATAATTGCATCACAAATTTTTATTTACTACAAAATTTGATTATTTATGTCAAAAATTATCATTTGTGACAAATTTTTTTCTCACAAATAAACTTTTTTCTTTGAGGTAATCCACAATCTTATCATAACATATTTGGGAAGAGATTATTTTATAAAACATTTGCATACCCACTGCATCGACTCGAACTCAAGACAAGGTACACAAAGTTTTACCTTATAAAAATATTTTGGTGTTGAAAACAAATTGAATTACCTGAAGAAGCCAAGAGAGAGGAGAACGCAGGTTCTTCTAATGCAAATAGAGAAGCCAGAAGCTAAGGTGCTCATCACCATCAACAACAAGGCGAATCCGTACACGTGGCGCCGCCCCTTGAGATCGCCGAGCCTACCGAAGACCAGTTGACCGATGGCCGTTCCTAATAGTGCGACGGCCACCAAGGCGGAGACGACGACGGGTGGGGTCTGGTTTTGGTTGCCGCCGTCGCGGTCGCTGTAGTATGTCCTTCCTATCATCTTCATGATGAGAGTGATTGAGAAGAGATCATATGCATCGGTGAATAGCCCCATCCCTGCAATGATTATGGCCTTGAAGTGATAGTACTGTGTCTTCGCCGTGTCAAGGGCTGATAGCACCTTCAATCTCGCCATTCTCTGACTTCAAAATTTTTTTTTTTTTTTTTCAAGTCTGAACTACCTCGGATATGGTTATGGCCTATGGGGCTTTTGTCCCATGGCATGTAGTCTACTACTAAGTAGCATAGAAATTTCTGATTTGTTTTGTTTTTATTGTCTTGTGGGGTTAATTATTTGTTTTTATCAGGAAATTGTGTGAGAAAGTCACTGGTTTGTGACAACTGGCAAAGTATTAGGAACTAGGAAGGTTGTTAGGGAGGTGTGGGATTAGTCAATAGTCAACTCATGAATGTATCATTCCACTAAAGATGCGAATCACTTTCATCCTTGAATATTTAAAATTCATGTTATACGAGTGCCTAATATTGGGTAGTGGCCAGGGGAATCGATAGTTAGTATGAGATTATTGGTTCAAAACTTGGTGTCATGGGTATTGTATAAGAAAAATTTATGTTATTTCCGAAAAACAATAAAAAATTATGTTATACTTGTCATATATATGTAATTGCCGGCGTCATCTGCAAAGGTTGCTACGTGTGCCCTTTTGTCCGTACAGGTTACTAATTTCAACTGTTTTGGCATTGGCATTGTAACGTACAGCCCTAAATCCTGTAGCATGATATTGTCCGTTTTGTCCTCGGACTCACGGTTTTATTTCTTCTTTGGACACCTCACAAAAGGCCTCACACTAGAAGAGGTATCTACACCCTTATAAGGCATTCTTCGTTCCCCCTCTCCAACCGATATGGGACATTACATCCTCCCCCACTGGGAGCGTCCCCGCTGTACACACCGGTCCAGGGTCAGGCTCTGATACCAAATGTAACAGCCCCAAACCCTGTAGCATTATTGTCCGCTTTGCCCTCGGACTCACGGTTTTATTTCTTCTTTGGACACCTCACAAAAGGCCTCACACTAGAAGAGGTATCTACACCCTTATAAGGCATTCTTCGTTCCCCCTCTCCAACCGATATGGGACATTACATCCTCCCCCACTGGGAGCGTCCCCGCTGTACACACCGGTCCAGGATCAGGCTCTGATACCAAATGTAACAGCCCCAAACCCTGTAGCATTATTGTACGCTTTGCCCTCGGGCTCACGGTTTTGTTTCTTGGGACACTCCACTAAAGGCCTCACACTAGAAGAGGTATCCACACCCTTATAAGGCATGCTTCGTTCTCCTCTCCAACCGATGTGGGACATTACAGGCATCCAGGTTTGCACTCTGTCACATTTTTTAGTGGCAAAATTTAAGGCGTGCACTTTGCATTTTTGTAGCTAACTCAGCTACGAGTTTCTACTAAAAAAATAAAATAAATAAATAAATAACTCAGATATTTTTTATTTTGGTAGATCGTTAAACTGAGATTTTTTTTTTTTTTTTTGGGTATCCCGTTAAACTGAGATTTAATTGTGCTTAAAAAACTCTTAACTTAGCAGTTTTATGCGTACAACCAAATCATTGATCAAATTGAAGTTGACTTCTCTTAAAAGAGCATGTGATGGTGTTCTACAGTTAATTCTTTTTTTGTATATTGTAAATAGTTAATTAATATATGAGTTGTAAGATAGTGAACTATTTAATGTTCATTTTAATATTACAATTGAATACTACACTTTCAAGCCACTGGGATTAGTTTAGTGACGAGGGGTTTAAGTAATTTGTTATGTTCAAATCATGGATATCCAAGATTACTTTATAATAAGATATTTGAATTTTTTTTTTTTTTTGGAGGAAAGCTGAATCAGCCTGTTTATTTTGACATTCTCATGCTACACCATTAGTTGAGAAGTGGCAGTAACTTTCGAATTTATATAAGGATTTCTTTCCACTCCTGGAATGCTTTACATCTATATTTCCTCTTTCAACGAAAATGCGCACCCTAAGCTCGCGGGTACGAAATGCAAGAATATATATTTCAGATCCAACAATTTGCTAAGGCTATTTCTAACTGAAGATTCTAGTATTGTTGCTCCACGTACATTATCACTAATGTAATGTACTTTCATCTTTACTGTTATATCTTAACATTGAAGACGAGGTTGGTTTAATGGAAAATAAAAACCCAACGGCCCCAGCTTTATTTTTTTTAGACCTTTCATAGGCTAAGTTCTGTATTTTTTCTTTAATACTTCCTTACCATTAGTTAATTAGAATTGTTATCAAAAAAAAAAAAAAAAAATTAGAATTGTTGACTATTGATAACAACAAACTGTTTGTCAAACAATAGTAGTATCAATGCGAAAGCTACATAGAAGAAAATGTTTGAAATCTCCCTCGTTCAATTTCTCTCTCTATTTCTTCGATTCTCCCTATCTTTTCCCCAAAACTTCTTGATTCTCTCTTTTTTCTTTTTAAATATTCCGATCGATTATTTGGGACAAGTCTATTAATAAGGCTTTAAATTCTTTCTAAAGGTGGTAATGAGAAGGATCAAACACATCACTACTAGAAAAGTTCTAATTATCGACGGAGTTTATTAACAAAAAATATTCCATTGCAAAGAGAGACATAATTTTTGACGGAAATCCAATTCCATAAAAAATAGAGATAGAAAATATTTCTGTCGAAAATAGAGACAAAATTTATCAACGAAAAACATTCCATTGAAAATTGTGATGGAAATTTTCAACGGAAAAATAATTTCGTAGATATGTTTGACAGAAAATCAATTTCGTAGAAATTTGCAATGAATTTTTCTCCCTTAGAATTTGCAACAGAATTTTAAATTCCATTGCAATTATCGACAAAAAAATTTTCGAATAAAAACACAATCTTCGTGAACCTTCATTAGCTTGAATAGTTTAATATTTTTGACAGAATTTTTTCGTCGAAATTTGCAAAGAAATTTTTTACGATGAAATTTGCAACATAATTTTTCCATCGAGATTTTTACCGGAATTTTTTTCCATCGAAATTTGCAATGTCATTTAATTCTATTGTAAATTTCCGCAGAAAAAAATTTGTTGAAAATTTTGAATAAAAACACAATCAATGTGAAACCTCATTCGACAATGGAAACATTTGAATAAATTAAAATTTGTAATTGTGAATAAAAAATAAAATCCTCACGAAGCCTCATTAGTCAATTGGAACGCTTGAATAATTTAAAATTAGTAACGAAATTTAATTTCGTTGCAAATTTCAAAGGAATTAAATTCCGTTGCAATTTCAACGAAAAAAAATTTCGTTGAAAATTTCGAATAAAAACACAATCCGCGTTAAACCTCATTAACCAATAGAAACACTTGAATAATTTAAAATTTGCCACGAAATCTTTTCCGTAAAAAATTGTGAATAAAAAACACAATCCTCGTGAAACCTTATTAGCCAACGAGAACACTTGAATAATTTAAAATTTGCAACATAATTAAATTCTGTTACAAATTTCAACGAAAAAAATTCTGTTGAAAATTTCAAATAAAAACACAATCCGCGTGAAACTCATTAGCCAATGGGAACACTTGAATAATTTAAATTTTGCAATGGATTTTTTCAGTTGAAAATTTTGATTTAAAACTTTTATATATCTATCCATTTCATTAATCCCAATATTTTTCACAGTTCCAAAGAGCTAATGTGGAAGCAAAACGCAACAGAGAAGCAAATGCAAAGGGGAAGAAATCCATGGTGGTAAAGAAGCCACCACTGGTGGAGAAGAAGTTGAAGGTTACCAAGAAGCTACCGAAGGAGGGTTGTGCTTCGTCAGCAAAAAGAAGAAAATGAGAAACAAGTAGATGAAAGAGCGATCTTTGATAAGAAAATTTGTGTAGTTTTTTTTTAAGTTTTCTTTTTTGTTATGGTGATAAAGTCATAGTTTTGTTTTTGTACGGAGAAAAAGAGAAACAAGAAGATAAGGCCATAATTTTTTTTTCAAGTTGCAGTTGTAGAAATAAGATTTGGTCGATCCTTTTGTCTGTATGATAATGATTTGGATTGATTATGTTGCACTTTTGTTGTTTTAGTTCTTCTGTTCTTTTTGATTTTATCCGTCTGTCTGGTGAAAAAGATGAACAGAGTAGAAATTTCTCTACTGAAACAGTACGAAATGTGGCTTTTTTTTGTTAGAATTTCCAATGGAAAAATTTTCGTTGGTATTTTCTGCGAAAAATATTTTCGATGGAATTCTAGTTAAATTCCGTTGCAAATTGTGATGGAACTTTTTTGACGGAAATTATTAAATTAATATTATATTATGGCTTTATTTGTCGAAAGAAAAAGTAAGGCTTTGACGGAAAAAATTCCGTTAAAATTTTCAACGAAAATTTTTTCCATTGCAAATTTTGACAAAAAAAATTCCATCGGCTTTCGACGAAAGAATTCCATTGAAAAATGCTTTTTCGATGAAATATTCATGAATTTTCATCATTTGCTATGGAAAAATTCTGTCAAAATATGAAATTTTCCAGTAATGCATGTTCTCATCTCCCTCACCTGCTCCGCTCCCATGTCTTGATTCTCTCTTTCATTTGTCTATTACTCCTTACAATTTTTCTCATCTCCCATATGTTTCTCTCATGTTTTCCCCATTCTTTTCCCGTATTGGTAAAAATGATATAGCTACAAATTATCAAAAATAAAAAAAAACTTTTCCAGTATCCAATTTTGACTCGTTTAAAAAATTATACACAAAAAAACTCAATTAACTTTCCCAGTATCCTTACTTAAAAAAAAAACTTTCCTAGTATCCAATTTTGACTCGTTTAGAAAATTAGTTGAATAAGTTTAAATAATTCGATTTTTTTATAATTTTTTACTTAATTTTGTAACCTATACATTTTTATGGCCTATTGAAGTTATTAAACCTTTTTATCCCAAATCTCTCTTGATATTCAACTTTATTCTTCATATATACTTCGTCACATATTTTTAAAATAAAACAAAAATATAATTATTTTTCATTTAGTTTGATAATATATATATATATATATATATATATATATATATATATATACTTTGACACAAACTCATACATACTATTTTGACATGGAAACTATATGCTTCAAACTTCTTTACATTAGTGATTATCTATTTGTGTTTAAACATGCTTGTTGTGTGTGTGTTTTTTTTATTCTATTAAACATTAACAATTTTATAATTATCATGAGTTGCTATCAATTGTAATTTTTAAGTCAATATCCATATGGGGTGCATTATATAGGTTCGCTTGATTAAGTAAATTTTTTTTTGGACATGGATATCTATCAAATTGAGTTTTGATTTCATTATAAAATAGCTCAGAATGATTTTTCATTAAAAATAACCTAGTACATCTGGAATAATCACCAATAAATGAAGCAAAATACTTAAACCTAAAGTAGATAGGATGAGGACTAGGTCCCCAAATATCAGATTGGACCAAAGAAAAAGAAGACAAAGCTTGTCGACTAAGATGACTCAAGAACATACTATGAGTATGTTTCCCAAACTGACATAACTCACAATGTAAACTAGAAAGAGACGTAAAATGAGGAACCATTTTCTAAAGCTTGGCAAGACTGGGATGACCCAAACGAGCATGGGTGGTGAGGGGAGAATCCACAATAGAGCAAGCTGAAGAAGAAAGAAAAAGTTGGTAGAGGTCATGAGACTCACATCCTCTGATAATCTCTTTCTCCAAACTCCGATCTTGCAAAATGACAGAAGATTTAGTAAAGAAAACCATACAATCAATGGATTTGGTCAAATGACTAATGGAAAGTAAGTTAAAATCGGAATTAGGAACATAGAGAACATGATCCAGAGATAAAGTGTGGAAGAGAAAAACCGTGTCGATCCCACGGGGTTGGACCAAAGACCCATTGGCCATAGTAATAATACGGAATAAACTAGTAGTACAAAGAGAGGTGAATAAAGACTTATTACCCAAAATGTGATTAGAAGCCCCAGAATCAAGAGTCCAAGGGCTTAGAGATTGTATCTGAGAGATCCCATCAAAAGAATTAACAGTTAGAGTAATGAAAGCAGGAGTACCAGATGCTTACTTCTTAGACCACCAAATTATAAACTCATTAAGAAAAGCTTCAGGAGGTTGTGCTGCAGAAGGTAACCCTGGATTAGGTGCAATAGAAGGAGCCTGAGTAACATGAGCAGTCCGAAGAAGCTGAGGTGGCTTGCCATGGAGCTTTCAACAGTGATCAACAATATGATTGGTCTGATAACAATGAGTGCAGAGTAGCCGACCTGTAGAGGGTTTACGTCCACGACTAGAGCCATGAGCAGCATGGGCAGAAGAGTTAGAGGTGTCAACCGGAGAGACATTAACAATAACAGGTGATGATGATGTAGAGGGCTTAGGTTGAATCTTAAGCAAAGTAGACATCACAAAATCCAGTGTAGAAATAGTAGCAGATCCCAAAAATTGATCATGATTGGCAAATAAATGAGGAGGTAAACAATAGAGAATCAACAACATAAAAAGAGTATTACGCTCTTCCCGCTCCTTAGCAATATCACCAGTAATGGGCATAATTTCAGTGAGATTATAAAGTAAACTCTGAGCTTTCCCCAAGTACTCAGATGTAGGACCATGAAAATCGCGAAGAGCAAAGGTAGACATCAACTTCTTACACACGCATAGAGTTGTTGCGTGTCTTTGGTGTACAAGGCCTTCGCTTGACGCAAAATAGCCTTACAAGTGTTTGTAGGCCAAAAAATCTGCTTAATGGAATGATGAAGAGTGGACTTGATGAGACTGCACAGTTGAGCATCAATCATCTTCCATCACGTGCGTTCACCAGCCACAATAAAACCAGCTTGAGTATTTAGGTTAGCTGTATAATTATGCCCATCCAACCAAAGTTGCAGATCTAAAGTCCACGAATCATAGTTTGAGCCATCCAAGTTATCCACATTAAGTGGAGCAAGGATATAATTGGTAACAATAGGAGGATCTGACTTGGGGCTAGTCGGAGATCCAGAAACAGAAAAGATAGGAGAGTTTATAATCACCAAATAAAAGAAACTACGAAAAAAAAATCAGAAACGTCAGATCATAAAACAAACCGGAAATGGGGGATCTTGACGTCACTGATAACGAGGTCAAAACTCCAAAACAAGACCAGATCCAAAACTGTCTCAGAGAGAGGAGAAAAATCGAACCGATAGCAGCCGGAGAAGAGGCTCTACATGCGGACAACCAAACTGAGTAGCAAAATTTCCACGAGCGCATGGCTAACCAGGCAACAACTAGACTTAGACCAAACGAATGCACGGCTGAGACGAGCACAACGGTAGGTGGGTCGCCAAAAATTTCCAACGGACAATGGTAGTCAACGGCGGAGGAACGTCGGTCAACCGGTGTCTGACAATGATGTGCGATGAGAAAGGCCCATTAACAATGCTGATGCGACCCAAAGAAAAAGAGACTTTCAGAAACTGACAAATAGACAATATTCATTTTTTTTTTTGAAAAGGAGATGAATAATAAGTTCACCGGAGAGAATAAGAGGATTGAGATTCCTCTCGTTAGGCTCTAGATACCATGTAGAGAAACAAGAGACAAAAAGAACATTAATTAATTCGTGTGTAATAGCACAATGGAGAATATAATATATACAGAGGGTTATAGGAAACAAACAACCTAAAATGCATGATGTGGGCTAAGCCCATACTATTTCTATTCTATATATACAACAAGATAAACTGAGATCGAGAAAGCTAACCTGAACGATGTGAAGTTCCACGAAGTTTGTGTGTTGTGAAAGTGGAGGTTCTGCAATTTTCTGAGAGAGAAAGTTTGTGTGTTGTGATGGTTCTGGAAGAGTGAAAAAGAAACAAAAAACGAACACAATGATTGGTGAAGAATGAGAGAAGAAGAAAAAAGGGATTACTATGAGGAAGAAAGGGGAAGAAAAAATGGGAAGGGATTACTCTAATATATCGATCATTTATTAGATCTAATCTCACCCTCTAGGCCTAATTAAATAATGAGCTATATTTATCTCATTCAACATGAGATAATCCATTTTCCTATACACACATAACAAAGATGGGTCCCACCTTTATTTTTTTTCTCTCCAATCATTTTGTGAGTCCCTCTTATAATTTTGTTTCACTAACATAAGATAACTCATCTCCAACAACATAACAAAAAGATTTCCCTTAAATAATACATCATCTTGATGTATTAAGGGATTATGCTATATAAGTTTATACTATACTATGGTCATACCAAACAATTATAAATGTTATAATGTATAATATAAGCTTATACTATTAGGCCTTATACATCACACTAAACATGCTCTAAGTATGGGGGTCAAAGCATAATTTTTAACTTTTTTAGGGTCAAAATGCTATTTCTTAATTATAGTTTTATTTCTAGATAAGAAAAACATAACAAAATTATCATACAATTCCTAATGATATTTCCCATATAATAGCATACTTACCTACCCATATAAATTAAATCCTTAACAAAATTCGGGGTGCTCCATTTAAACTCCTCATGTTCACAAGGCTCAATCTCATTCTCTTCCAAAGATCTTCCCATGGTTTCCATGGTGAAAAAGTAGGTAACCAACATTCCAACTATGCACACCACTCCAAGTATGACCAAGGAGACTTCCATTCCAATTGCCTTGGGATATCCGTCCTCCTCGTCTTTATGTGAAGCCCATAGAAATCCAACGGTTCCAATGATTGCACCAACCTTGCCAAAAGCCCCAGAAATGCCATGACATGTTGATCTAAACCTGGCTGGGAATAGTTCAGCTGGGACTATGAAAGTGGTGGTGTTGGGTCCAAAATTGGCAAAGAAGAAAGCAAGGCTATAGAGTACAATAAAACCTTTATTATTTTTGTTTTTCTCGGTGGTCCAGTATGAGTAATAAGGAATCCCTATGGCCCAAAAAATCAATGCCATGAAGAAAAAGCCCATCATTTGGATTTTGACTCTTCCAACACGGTCAATGAAGTACACTGAGAAGAAGTAGCCAGGAATGGTGGAACATACAGCAATAATGGCTTGGATCTTGGCAACATGGAAAACCTCATGATACACATTCACTTGGTGATTGTCGTCGAGCTCGAGGAAGTGCTTGTATATTTGACTCTGGAACAGAACATTGCTGTAGAACACAATGTCCAACAGAAACCAATTAGAGGAACAAGCAAAAAGATCACGACCATGACGACGGAAAAATTCCCTGGAAAGGAGCGGGTACGGATGCGCTGGTGGCAATGTATTTTCTCCAGAAATCTGGCTCATTGAGAACTCTAGGACTCTCTCCATGTCCTTTACTGCTTGCGTAACGTCTTGTTCCACTAGCGCTGTATACCTGAGGCACATATATATATATATATATATATATATATATATATATATATATATATATATATATATATATATGACAACATTCATTGTTATTTGTTTGGAACATTGCATCATTGAATTTGATCATAACACAAGAATTTGGATTTTTTTTCCTGCCTGTCTTGATTAGCACCTATTAAGTTCCAACATAACGTCTTGTACTACTTTTTACTTGTTTGATTATCTATTTATTTTTTTCAACTGGTTCATCGATTATCTCGGTTTGAAAACCGCTAGACTCACCCCAATTTAGGAATTGTTTTAAGACTATTTTTCTTTTTAATATCAAATACGAAAACCACCAATGAACAAGCAGTGGCGAATTCAGAATTTGTTACGATGAGGCAAAAATAAAATATTAAAATTACAAGTGTTATTAAAATTAATCGGAAGGACTAACTATCATAAATATTTTTGAGGGTGAAAAAAATAGCATTCATTATTTATTAATATTATAAAAATATCATTTTAGTTATATAATAAAAAAAATCAAAATTTAGGAGGGACGATTAGCCGTGCAAACAAGCCCCTTCTATCATTGTAAATTAAACTATTCAATTGTGCCTCATTTTTTTTTTTTGGGTAACTCAACCTTGCATTTTCTACTATGTGCTTGCCATTTCTTTTATGGGTGTACGTACACTGCTTGAAATCTTTTTTGGTTTGATCAACACGGAAATTCAACGACATGGACACAATGAACGAGAAAAGGAATAGTTTTTCCTTTGACTAAAACAGTTAACTAAGTGGTTAAACTTGCTCCTTGATGGCTGGCCTACGACAAGCACTAATGAGCTTATGATACATTCGGACATGTGTCCGACACGCGGTCAACATTTGGGGACATGCGGTCAACTCTTCGACACGTTTCGACACGCGGTCAACATTTGGGGACACGCTCAGACATTTTTTATTTTTTTTTTTAAATCTTAATTTTATTTTATTAATTAAATATAAAAGAAATAATTTATAAATTAATTTTTTTCTGTTATGAAATTTGACATTAAAAATTAACAAAATACGAGAAATTACTTATATTTATATTTATGTTATGAAATTTAAATATTTGATTGGTTATATGACTTATAATGGACTCTTATATGTATTAAATATAAATTATATTATATATATTACAAATTTTATTTAATATCAAAACGTGTCCCAACGTGTCGAAATATGACATTTTTTAAAATTAACGTGTTGGCGTGTCGTGTCATGTCGTGTCCCGTGTCCGTGCATCATAGCTAATGAGTATATAAATAAGAACTCAACCAGGGTAAACATATATCAGCGCGTCTTGTCAGACAAACTTCTCATTCTTTACCAATACATATAATTAATAAGTAACGTTAATTATATTCCACAAATTTTTTTTTTTATAAACTTACAAATTATATTGTGTCTTACTGGTAGGATTTCATTCAAAAATATCTTTCCAACAAGACGTAGTGTAATTTTTAAATAAATTTTTTATAAATATAAGCTTCTTCGTAATTAATTACATCAAACTTTTCATTTCAATTCAGTTTGTATGGTTAGAGACACCAATGCAACATCAAATTCAATTGAATGGATACAAGAACAATAAAATGTAGTAATAATAATAATAGAAAAATGATATTGTAACAATCAATTAGTGAAATATAGTGAATCATAATCATACAAAGATAAAATAAATATACATCTTTGTATGATTATGATTTCTCATATTTTACTACCAGTCAATTTTACTCTTAGAGATATACACCTTTGTATGGTTATGATTTTTTATATTTAATACTTTCACGTTAAATACGAAGAATCATAACCATACAAAGATGAAAATAAATATAACCGTTGGATCAACATAATCGATCTAACGGTGAAATTGATTGATAGTAATATTGATAGTAATATTGATAGTAACACTAATTGATTATTACAATATCCTACCTTATAATAATAATAATAATAATAATAATAAATAAATAAATAAAGACGTCAACGTGAAGAGAGGCAGCTACCTGGCAGTTTCGGGCATCTTCATACGCCAGTAGTACGTCAAGCCTGCCGGAACTGAACCTATCATCAGTATCAACCTCCATGCAAAGTCAGCGTCCTCTTCGCGGCGGAATATGGAGCACACCACCATGGTAACGGTGGCGCTGGCCAATATCCCGAATCCTTGCATGGAAAACACCGCCGCTATGAAAGACCCTCGCGTCCTTTTGTTTGCAAACTCAGACATTATGGTAGATGAGAGAGGGTAGTCTCCTCCAATTCCCAACCCCAGAAAGAACCTCGTGAGAACAAAATTAACAACGTTAGATTCTAGCCTTAATATTTCCTCGAGCTTATATTTGGACTAACATGTAAAATAATAGATGAGAAGTAAGTAATCGAGGCACACAAAATAGAACAATATAAGAGGAGCGATTGAGGCACGTGAGAATTGATTCTTGACTCAAATAATAATTTTTTGTTACTAGTTGTTTTGATGATTAATATGCATAATAAAAAAAATTTAGTAATACCTATAAATGAAATAAAGTAGTACTATTTTTCACACACACAATAAAACCGAAATAATTAGATGCATTCAAAACTCTAACTCTAAATCATTTCTTAAGTTGAAATAATTAATCTTGTGTCCGTTAATGCATGTGATTTGATCGATGATATTTGTCACTTATTTTAAAATAAATGAAACGGATCTTTGTGTTTGTGTTAAGCATGAAAAAACATTATGCATGATGTTCAAAGCTAAACCTGAATAAGCCAAGAGAAAGGAGAACGCATGGTCTTCTTATGCAAACGGAGAAGCCAGAAGCTAAGGAGCTCATGATCATCAACAACAAGGCCAATCCGTAAACGTAGCGCCTCCCTTTGAGATCCCCGAGCCTTCCGAATACGAGTTGACCGATTACCATCCCTAACAGTGCGACGGCTATCAAGGCGGCGACCACGACGGGTGGGGTCTTGTATTGGTTGTCGCCGTGGCGGTCGCCGTAATATGTCCTTCCTATCATCCTCACGATGAGAGTGATGGAGAAGAGATCGTATGCATCGGTGAATAGCCCCATCCCTGCTATTATTATGGCCTTGAAGTGATAGTACTGTGTCCTCGCCGTGTCTAGAGCTGACAACAACTTCAATTTCGCCATTCTCTAATTAACTTAATTAATACGACCAACCACCACCGCAGATATAGTTATGACCAATGAAGCTAGCTTTTCTCCACTTAAGGAATGAATTAATGAGATATGAGGTATGTATGTAATTGTAATGATTAAGAATATATATGGATAATATTCCAAGGGCCAAATGGTCTGTTCCCTACTCAGCAGCATAGGAATTTCAGGTTTGTTATGTTGTCTTGTATTGTGGGATTTATTAGGAAATTGTGTGAGAAAGTTTCTTGTTTGTCACAACCGGGAAGTGCACTGGGAAGCATGGTAGGATTAGTCAATAGTCACATATAGTCCTAGAGCGAGCCAGTTGGCTTTATAAGTTAATTTTATGATATCAAAGAACCCAAATTAATTGCCGATCAATCCATCCTTAAATATTTTACATTTGTAATTGCCAGATAGCGTCAACGGGGTAGTGGCAAAATTTATGCCCTTTAGTTCTTTACGTGTCACTAATTTAAAGGTTTGCCTTTGGCATCCTCAAGGGGGTGCAGGTTCGTAGTCTGTCACATTTTTTAGTGGCAAAATTAAAAAGGTTACCCTTGCAAAATTTAAAGGATTAGATAATGCTAACGATGCTGTCACGTACGGTGCCCCTAGTCTGATGTGGATTCACCTCATCATGATCCTATATATGGGAGTAGATATATTTTTCGTGATGTCCATTCATGTCATAACATGAGGGTTGAGGGGAAGGGGAGTGAGGCATGATGTGACTTCCTTAATGTACCCTCATCTCATTAGTCTTATAGATCGAATTTTCAGCACCTGGAGGTTGCAGATAGGGTATCACGGATGAGGAGGACGAGCAGGAGCGCAACGATAATGAGGAGGAGTGCAATGATAATGATGATGAGACCCGTTTAAACTTGTATAGAATTATTTTTGGTGTGTATTGTTATTATTTTCATATTAGTTTCTTCAATATATGATCTTGTATGGATTGCTTGTCTTCTATTAATGTTGGTTTTATCCATTTCAAATTTTAATTGCTTATATAATTGCTATATGTAAGTAAAACATGACAAGGAGCTAAAAATGGTGGTTTGATACCTTGAAATTGAATGAAAATTGGACCCACAAACAGTCACATTTAGCCCAATCACATGTATACATTAGATTATAAATTGGTTTGAATGAAAGGAGATTGAGCAGATATTATAAATTAACCTAAAAAACGATTATTTAAGACCTTGAAATTGGATGGGACTATCCTCAGTTGTTATATTTCTACAAATCCCCATCTGAAATTCAATTATACTTGTACATGACATAACAAATTGGTTTGAATGAAGAATGAAGTGCTTTTTGCAACACATATTGAGAAGAACCTAAAATGACGGTTTTAATTTTGAAATTAGATGAGGATTGTCCTCATGTTAACAATGTAGCTTGAATTAAAAAATGTTCATGGTTATAAATTTCACTTGCTTACTGTTAGGAAATTATATTTCCTAATGTGTTTGTGGGCTACATATAGTATAAATAATTATATTATGCTATTTAATATATATTGGGTAAATTAAAGTGATCAAATAAAGATGCCCAAATAGATTCTTAAGTAAGTGTGGGACAAATTAGTGGATACAATGTTGGACCAACTAGGTATAATGGGAGCTTACTGGCCCAACAATAAAGAAAAACACTATAAAGGATTATGGTCCCTAATATGTCAAATAATAACCCTAGTTTATCTTTCACATCAAGAGAGAGACAACACACTAAAGAATAAGGATTAGGGTTATTTGACTTAGGAAGATCGCATACCCCAAAGGTGAAGATCGAAGTTATTCTGCTGCTATGGAGACAGGTAATGCCTCCATCTTTCTGTTAATATTCCTTTATGATTTGGTATGATAAATCTTGGTTTGTTGGTGATGGTTATCACCATAAGATTAAGAGGAATTATTATTCCAACAATTGGTATCAGAGTCGTCATCATATTGAATCATGAGGGAATTAAGTTTTGTGATTTTTATATATGATGAATCATGAAAAGTTTTGCTTTATTGTCTTTTGGCATAAAGTTTACTGTTTTTTGAACGTGGGTTCCATCTCATGTATTTCTGTATTAGCTATGTAGAGTTAATTTTTGTTCCCTGACAATGTCTTTTTTTTTTTTGGAACAAAAGTTACAATCTTTTGAAAATCTAGGATTCACAGTTTAATATGGGTTTGTCATTTAAACTTTTGAATCTGTATAAAGATGGAATATTTGGAAGAATTTTTTCTTTATAATTCATGAGAGTTTGTTGTTTGAATTTGGAATTTAAATGAACAATGAATTCTCTTAGAAAATTTTGGACTTATAGTTTGAAAGAAATCAAATATTTAAGGTATTTTGTTGTAGGGTTTTCCTTATATTTGATATTCTTTGTTAAAAGCTAAATATAATTTTTTTGGGTATTGTGCATCATTTTTAAGCCTTATAATGGTATAGTATGTATGTATGTACATTGAGGATTGATAAAAAATAATTTTCTTTATTGTTGTTATTTTATTTTTAAATGGGTTTATTATCTCTAAAGGTTTCTATATGAAATGAAATAAGATAGATTTGTTGGACGCCAAAGAGGCCAAATTCATAAAGGTTAATTTGATTTCAAATAGGTTGATTATATAAATATATATTATTTATGTGAATAATTATCGACCCAAAGGAAGTTAGTTGTTTGGCCAAATAATATATGTTGTATGATTATGTGTGTGTTTGTTTCTTATGCGGAAAATAATCGGCCCAAAGGAAGTTAGTTGTTTGGCCGAATAATATATGTTGTATGATTATGTGTGTGTTTAATTAGTTTCTTATGCGGATAATAATCGACCTAAAGGAAGGTTATTATTTGGCAAAGTAATTGATATACCAGTGGTAATAAATATGTGACAATTATTAAGGCTTCACCATATGAGTCATAGTCGGCCCAAAGGAAGACTATGGTTTGACAGGACTTATTGTCATTATTTGATTATTACATTGAGAATACCACTTACAAGTTGATTTTTTTGTCCAAAGACTAAATATCAATGTTGTGCTAGGTATCTTGTAAATAAACTCATTTGACTTCAGATTATTTTTCAATATCATGTATATATTATGATTATGATGGTGTTTAAATATATACATTATATGACTGTTATGAGTATGTTATCTTATTTTGTTCTCTATACAGTTTCTGCTACTTCTGCTAACTTTGTTGCTCAAGTGAATATGATTCCCATGCTTAATGGGGCGAATTTCAAGCTGTGGAAAGAACATGTGGAAATTGTTCTCGTCTGCATGGATTTAGACAATGCGCTAAGGACTGAGAAACTCACTTCTACTCCAGAAAATCTGAATACAGATAAGATTGAGAAGTGGGAACACTCAAATCACATGTGTCTGATGATCATGAAACACTCTGTTCTGGAGGCATTTTGGGACTAGATAGTTGAGACTACTGATGCCAAGATATTTCTGAAGGAACTCAAGCAGTACTTTGCTCGAAATGAAAAGGTCGAAATTGGTCAAACCTTGTCCAAACTCATTAATATGAGGTATAATGGAAAGAGAAACATAAGGGAGTACATTACGGAAATGTCTAATCTTGTTGGAAGACTAAAGGCATTAAAGTTAGAGCTGCCATCTGAGTTGCTCATGTACTTAGTTACAATATCTCTTCCTGCACAATATGGTCGATTTGTAGTGAGCTATAACACCTAAAGGGAAAAATGGACTCTTAATGAGCTCATTGCTCACTGTGTGCAAGAGGAAGAAATGTTATAGCGAGAAAAGACTAATAGTGCTCACTTGGCATCAACCTCTCAATTAAGGCAAGAAAAAGAAGAGAGCTAAGGATAATGCGGAAGCTTTGCCCATGCAAAAGAAACAAAAGAAGCAGGATCAGGAATTCACTTATTTCTTTTGTAGAAAATCTGGACACATGAAGAATGAGTGTTCCATATATCTGACATGACGCGTAAAGAAGGGTATGACTCTCACTTTTGTTTGTTCTGAAATTAATTTAGCTTTTGTGCCTGTTGATACTTGGTGGGTAGATTATGGTGCTACTAATCACATAAGTATGACTCTGCAGGGTTGCTTGTGGAGCCGACCGCCAAGTGATGTTGAGAGATACATCTTTGTGGACGATGGCAAGAAGGTTGTAGTTCAAGCTATAGAAAATTTAAGATTATTATTAAAGACTGATGTTTATTTGGATTTGATTAAGACATTTGTTGTACCGTCATTTAGACGGAACTTAATTTCTATTTCAAGTTTGGACAAATCTGTTTATTCAAGTTTGTCTTTCTCTTAATTCAAATATTATTGGTACTGATTCTTTGATTGATAATCTTTACATGCTTGATACTGTTACTACTGATAATGAAATAATGTACATAAGTGCACAAGGTACAAAGCAAAAATTAAACGAGAATTCTGGCATTCTGTGGCATAAGCGTTTAGGTTATATCTCTAAACAAAGAATTCATAGGCTTGTGAATGATAGAATTCTTGAACCCCTTAATCTGGATGATTTTGAGGTGTGCATTGATTGTGTAAAAGGGAAACAGGCAAACATAAGGAAAATAGCTTCCAACAGGGCATCAGACGTCTTAGAACTGATTCATACGGATATCTGTGGACCATTCCCTACAGCTTCTTGGAATGGTCAACAATACTTTATCACGTTCATGGACGACTATTCAAGATTTGGCTACCTATATTTGATTAGTGAGAAATCACAATCATTGGACAAGTTCAAAGAATTTAAGGCTGAAGTTGAACTTCAAATAGGCAAGAAAATTAAGGCCATAAGATATGATCGTGGTGGTGAATACTATGGTAGATCTGATGGATCAGGTGAACAACGTCCAAGGCCCTTTGCGATCTTCCTAAAGGAGTGTGGAATCGTCCTATAATACACAATGCCAGGAAAACCTAGCATGAATGGTGTTGCGGAAAGGCGAAATCAGACTCTGAAGAAAATAGTGAG